GGGGGGAGCTGCAGCAGCTGCGACTGTTGCGGAGGAGGAGTATGAGCGGCGTCGGTGGAGGACGGGCGGTGGCAGCTGCGGGGCGGCGGCGACGGAAGAGGATAGGCGGCGGGAGGAGAAGAAGCGGAGGAGGAGGTGGATGGAAGCGGATGCGACGAAGACGAAGGCAATGATGGCGGAGATGATGAAGAGGCTGGGGCTGAGGGACACAGCGGAGGAGGAGGCACCTCGAGCAGCCTCTGCCGCAGGAGGAAAATATCTGACGGGCTCCGGTGGAGGTGGTGGCAGAGGTGACGGAGATGCCATTTGGAGGCGGAGAGATACATAAAGAGTGAGGGGCGTTATCGTAGATGAATATATATATTGGCTGATGTGCGTGCTTTGTATTGCCGTGCTTTATGTGTATGTGCCATAGCCTTGTCCATTTACTTACATGAAAAGATATCTTTATTCTCTATAGAATTTTCTAGTTTTGTTTAAAAAAATTATCATATGAATATATACCGTGTAGAAGAATAATTTATACAATAAAAAAATAAAGAGATAACTCACGTGAGCTATAAAAATAATAATTATCGTATATACACAAGGTAGTAAAAGAAATTAGTTTTGATTACAGTGAACAAACCTCTTTTCATAAACTCAAATATAAAAATAAAAAATATACAAAACAAGAAAAGTTACAATCATATAAAATCAAATATATAATATGTTCCATCAAGGAAAACGATTTAAAAAAATAATATATATATATATATATATATATATATATATTTATATAGAGATAAATATCAAGGCTTTTAATATTCAATCAAAAAACATTTCCATTTTTAATATATTTATTCTTTTCCTTCACTTTTGAGTAGTTGTTATCATGTAACAACTTATAAAAAAAATCTTTAAATATTTAAAAATATATATAAACTAAATTGCTCTTGCATTATATACTCCCAATATATAGTAACTCGGTCTGATTAAAATTTGGATCGACCGTGAAACGTATAGTTGGAACAAAGTGCTTTGACACTAATTTTTGATGGAGGATGTATAATAGCATAATAGAAAGATTATAATTAAAAGATAATAAGAAAAAAAAACTACTACTTAACTCGATTAAATGAGCAAAACTTCTGACTTGCACCTCCAAATGTTTTTGCATATGGACCATGATACGACATCAATCTCATAAATTACGTCGATTGCCACGATGGGGGCAACGTGGTGCTCTAGAGTTGACGTGGCGTGTCAAATCGATATTGGATCCATACGAGATAGTCGCTTATCATTTGCATTGTCAGCTTGCTGCTCTCGCATTGCTCGAGGCTGTATGGAGTGGCGTCGCCCAGTATTGAGTGACTCGAGAAGCACAGGGCAACGCAAAACTGGACAACTCGGCCTATGCCTATACTAGGTGTACGAGTCGATCACTTGAGATGCCAACGACCATTAAGTAACCACGTTCGACGATGTTCAATAATAGGTATAAAAGTCACCCTCCAAAATAGTATTAGGGGGTTGGACCTTGAATACTCTCCTGTCTTTTATTTGGTGACTTAACCATAGAAGTAACCAAGTCGAAAAATCTTTCAAACCTGTCGTTCCGAGAAAAGGAACAACCCTCAGCTTCACCTTAGGTGGATTAGGTGGACGACGTCTCAACCCAACCTCTAGTCAACCCTCTCCAACAAGGAAGCCATGTTGATGATCTTACACACTTGGAGCGAACCAAGCCATGCTAACAATTTGGCTACGTCGTGAAGTTGCGTAACAATCAATACAACAAAAAATAATTATGGTCTTGCATGACTCACACACAAGATAAAAAAAAAAATTTCTTATTTATATATTATAATATTCTAACCCTTTTTATAGACTCAATTACAAGAATAAACGATGAAAAATATAAAAATAAGAAAGATTATTATCATATCAAATAAAATATATAATATATTATTTTTGAAGAATGTAATAGTTTTACTTGATTGGAAAAATAATATTCCTCTTGATGATATTCTTGATCGATAAGGTTTTTACTATATTTATTTGCTTATTCTTCACCTTGAATTGAATCGATGTATTCTAAATATTTTTAAAATAATAACTTTTATTTAAATAATATATAAATTAAATTGCTGTTGATGATACATAGTATACACACACCTTCGTCATCCGGAACTACGTGCATGCCTACCGCTTACAAGCTTTGATATTATTGGATCGTGTGGCCAAGAACTTAAAAGACGAAGTTTACCGCTCTTTGAATCACTCCCAAGTGGGGAGGAAACCGGCAAGAGAGAGAAGAGAAGCAGCGCATGAGTGATACCAGTAAGCAGTCCGGACCGCGTCCTGTCGGTGACCAAAATAAAGGGCAGAGAGAGTACCGCGTCTCGGAGACTTTCTCGGAAGTGGAGAAGAATGCTGCTGCTCTCGCTCACTGCAGGAACACCATGCCCGTATATTCTTGGATCCGACTGTACTGCAGCTTCCGAGACTGGGATTTCACCATGGTCATCATTCCCCTCGCGTGTTCGGTCGCGAAGACGAGGAGGCTTCACTTTCGTATATGCAAGAACCCTAGTCAGAAGGCAATGCATGCATCTATCAAGTCTCAGACACTCCTGCCTTTGAATCACTCTCATAGTTTCAGGCGTGGAAGTTGAAGAGTGTAGGACTGCAACTTGTGAAAGATTCCCTTGTACTCCTGCCTTTGAATCACTCTCTAGTTTCAGGCGTGGGAGTTGAAGAGTGTAGGACTGCAACTTGTGAGAGATTCCCTTTACAAGGGTTTGCTGCTCTCTGGAAGGATACGTACATACATAAATACCGTAGAACACCATGTATCTGCTGAAAGAAATGTGACACCCAAGCACTTGTGGGCTCCATCAACCATCTCACCTTTTCATTGAGATGTGGTAAACTGCACAGCCTTGTCAGTGGCAATCTTGAGTAGACAGGCTCAGTATCATTCTTCTGGTCCCCCAAGATCAAGCATGGGTGGCGGTCATCGGCTTCCCCTCTCACCTAGGACGTGAACTCCTCAGCAGCTAGCACTGGACCACCGCTGTCTTCAGTTGCACTGCTGTCTTCCCTTGTTCGCGTTAGAAAAAGAGGCCAAGGGGTTCTTCACCATCAATAGCTCATTCTAAGCTCGCCTCCCAGTAACTCCGTGGAAATTTCTAACAAAGCAAACAGATCTTTTCAGCCTTATCACTGCTCGAGTCTGTCGAGCTTTTCTTTTATCTGCTAAACCGCTGAAAGTTTCAGATCACCTTGTCGTTTCCAGACACCTTGCCACATACATACTTCTCCTCCCAGACACATGATTTCAAGTTGGTGTGGACCATTTGAACCCTAAACGATCCATCCATAACTACAGATTTTCCCTTTCATAGCAGATGTATCATCATCATCCTGCTGCCCTGTAATATATATATGTGCAAGCTGCAGGCTTTTTCATGCCTCTGGGATTGTTAATGGGGATTGGATAATAATACATTCTGCTTCTGGACATATTGCCTCTCCATTAATCATCTGTGGGCTTCACATGCCCTTCCTCTCAACATAAACTGTCATGATGATCCGGTCTCGGTGGATCTCTTGGTTGGATTCGTCTTTGTGCTTCTACCTAGGTCTCATCATCGAGGGACAAAAGAATTTGACATGATCTATAGCTTCGTCAAACCATGGCTGTGACTATTCTAGGAAAGCTATGTATTATCACTACTGGTTTCTATCATTTGACTCGGTAATTATCTGAATCAGGTATTGTGTTGGCCAGAAGTATTTTTCGGGGATCGACCCGATTCCGTTGCCCAATCCGCGGCTAGTATTAGGGACAACCCAATAAAATTGGGCCGTCAAGTGTCATCCGTCAGATGATCCATGCCCCCTTCATCCAACGCCTCTGGATGCAGCCACGTCGCCAATCCGCAAGCCACTATATATATATATATATATATATCTTTTTTGAGCCGGCCGGTTCGGGCTCAGGTTGCGCTCCAGTCCAACACGGCTCGCTAATTATAAGCCGGTTTAATGGTTTGGTTATTACGGCTGTTAAGTTACATCGTGTCCCGTTAAATTATCGGCAGGTGGCGTCTCCGGTCACGTGCTTCTTATCGTACATTCAATTTCAATGCGGCCCCCAACCATCACGTCGCGATCTGAAGGCACTGTTTGGTTCTCTCCGAGCTCGGGCACCCCCGACGAAAAGGTCAGACTTTTGCCTCCGTATCCTCCGTCTTTCTCATCCGATTTACCGTTCCCCGGACTCCTTTTAGCCGAAGTCGATATTTCCTGGGTCGATCCTAATTAATCCCCAAATTGTCAGCGGTTTACTACTCTTAATTCTGTTGGCTCTCTTCTCTTCTCTTTCCTTTTCCTGATTTAGGTTTTGATGCAAACAAGCATCCGTAGTTGTGGAATCTTTCACGTTTGCTATTCCTTTGTACCTGTGGAAATATCTAGTCTTTGGTTGAATCGATCCGATTGCGGTGAGAGGAACGATCAGAAGAAAGCAACGCATAAAGGAAACGAGATTAGGATGTTGGTCGCATGCAATTGAACCTGATTGTTTCGGTAACATATTAAATGTTTTCAAGGCTTTCCGAATATGTAAATGTCATTATTTTAAGGTATGGATACGATTGTAGGGTCAACATGCTTTATGGATGACAATTCTGAACTGCTTGAAAATAACATATACAAGACATTAGTATTGCTGAGATGAGGACATGAGATGGATGTGTTGGGTCAATTAGGGTGATCAACATAGTAAGATATATTCACATTGGCGATCAATTAGGGTGTGGAGGTGCAATAAGTGAAAACCACGTATTCTGGTATAAATATGTCTGAAGATGTTTGGAGATTCATCCAGTAGATGAGATGAGTCAATTAAGATTATTGGTAAAAAGAGAGGTAGCAGAAGACCACAGAAATCTTTAATAAACACAATAAAAGAAGACACTCTTGACAAATATGACTTTTCTTATTAGATTATCAAAGTGACAATTCTTTTTTTCCTGAAATTGAGTGAACTTAACATTCACATGAATGATGATAGGCATAGGGGTTAAATGCAAGAGTCATTCAGAGAGACTGGGAGAAGAGTATTTGCTGACTTAAAATCAGAGTCCAAAAATCATGGATTTTGCTTTGCCTATTCTGGTCAAGGCTTTGACATACATTGAATGTTATCTGTGTCAGTAATGTGCCATCATATTACACACTGATTTGAAGTTTCTTGACAGTATTGCAGAAAACTATTTCACATGTAGGTTTCTCATTCTTCAACAAGAATATCCTTCATTAGTTCTTTTCAGGCACAAACATGATAACTTCTTTACAATGTAAAGTTGGTATTTTTAATTTTTGGAAGGGTTGATAATGAATAATATTCATTTCATGTTGTTACCTTTCAGGTTGGAGAGAAAGCCCAGTGGAGAATAAAATTATAATTGAAGCTTAAGATGGCAGCATCAAAGATTCAAGCTCTATGGAATCACCCAGCTGGCCCAAAAACCAGTTTGTTCTTTTTCTTGCCTTTTCTTTTTTCTATCTTAACATGTTTATTATGCCTTTCTTGGGATCAGTAAGTCATTAGAAGCTTATGGTTTGTATAGCATTTGTTGAAGTACTGATGGTCTGAGATGAGCAGTACCATACTGTATATTGTGACTATATCTACATCTTCGTAAGTAAATTTCATGTGAAGCTAGTTGAATGATTCATATGAAGTTTCATTACCATCGACCCAGTTGTTTTATGTGAATTAGGTCTGTGTTCTTCATGTGCTAAATCATTTAACATGTTCCTTGACTGCAGTTCATTTTTGGGCTCCAACATTCAAGTGGGGAATTAGTATTGCAAATGTTGCAGACTTCTCCAAGCCACCTGAAAAGATTTCTTATCCTCAGCAAGTTGGTGTGTATATCCTATTGTCAATTTGTGGCAATAAGTGTCTGTTTAACTTTTCCTCCATATTCTTTGCTAAACGAGACTGTCATTGTTTGATGTTGGCAGCTGTTACTTGTACTGGGCTCATCTGGTCACGTTACAGCACAGTCATTACACCTGTAAGTTTTATTGTGACATGTCTTTTGTTATTTCTTCTTCGTTTTCTTATACATTGTTCTTTCTATGTTGGTTCATGGTAGTTGTTTATTATAGAGTTTTGTCATATGTCATATTTAATAATTAAGTTTCCAAGCTATATACATGATTACATATGTATATGCATGGTTGATTCTAGAGTTAACTAGACATGGAGTCATGGACATACATCTTGCATCTTGTGTTGGTTTGACCTTTCAATTCAGCATAATATCTGAACCTTTTGTAGAAATATCTAGTCACAGAATTGTCCGTGCTGATAATTATGGAACTTGTGTAGCAATCCTAATCTCAACAACACATGCAAACACAAGTTGTCTTTTGATTTTATTGTGATTTGGTATTCGATGAAGATGGCTTCTTCTTTGTTGCGACGTGCTTATCTCCATTGTCTTTCGCTATCGTGTTGGCTTGGGTTCAAATCCAACCCATTGTGTTCTCCATCTTTTGCACGAGCGATGTGACTTGAGTAGCAAAATCCAATGATGCTACTGGAGTACAGTTTTTCTGCTATTGTGACACCATCTCTTTTTGTCGATGAACAGTATTTAATTTCCAACTCCTGAAGTTCTTCACCAAACTTTTATGTCCTTGCCTGGTGATAACCATCCACAGGGGAGGATCATCTCTTTGATACCACTCGATCTATTTGGGAGAAGGTTTCAGTGATCGAATCCTTCCTCCGATTGGATTTACGCATTGTCAGATGATTGATAGGGACACTGGAAGAAGAGAAATGTGAAAGAGAAAAATGATTTAAGTTCCTTCTTGAAAATGGAATACGTAATCACACACAATTATAAAGAGCTTCTTGAGGCTTCTTTCTTGCTGTTTCCTCTCTCTTTTATTCTCTCCCCAGGGCTGCCGATCCCATTTACTTTTGTAGCGAGAAGACTCCTAAGTAGAAGACTCTCAATCGGAGTCCTAATCCCATGCAGGAGACTCCTAGAATGCAAGTCCAACTCAAATTGAGCTCAGGCTTGGCCCAACTTGGACTTGGGCTGAATTGATAATTTCTGATCATTGTAAGCCTACAGTGATGTGTCATGTTTGACCTGTGTTCACTTTTTGCAGAATTGGATGATCTGAGGCTAACAGAAGAGTGTTGAGTATTAAAATAAATAACAATTTAAGAGAGGAGAAAAGGTGAAGAGTTGTATAGGTAGAGACAAATAAAGATATTGAGACCAATGAGATCTGGCCAAAGAATTTATTTAGGCCCTTTTATGCAGATGAAAAATGCTGTTCTTTCATTAAAAAACATTAGTGCATTATATGTACAGAAATCATGGTCTGATGTGCCAAAGCCCGTCTAGTCCAAAAAGTAACTTGTCCATATAGCTTGTGAGACATATGAAACCAATGAAATTTCTAAATTCTGCCTTGAACATTGCTAAATGGTTATGGTCATTGTCATGTATTCTATTAGTTTCTTTCTGAAAATTTTACAATGTGGGAAAGCCACTCTTGAAAATCCTTGGCATCCTTGCGAAGCACATTCATGATTTACTTGCAAAGTCTTTCTTTTAGCCAAATGTAATAGATACAATCCCTTACTAAGTCCACTCCAATAATAATTTACATTGCTGGGTCTGTCAACCTATCAAACTTCAGCCAGTAGAAATGCTATTTACAATGGTAAATTGGGTGCCTGAAGTATAAAGTTGGCAAGTTTTGTTCCCTTGTATGGTGGAAACGCAGATGTTGTTCTCCATATTTATCACTGATTCTATTCCCTGATACTTTGTTTTTGATATATCACAGAAGGACTGGAACCTTTTCAGTGTTTAATTTAACAATTATATTGGCTTCATATTTGAAACCAGTGAAATTGTTGCTAAATGGTTATGGTCATTGTCGTGTATTCGTTTAGCGTTTTCTGAAAATTTTACATGGAAAGAAAAAATCATTCTTGAAAATCTTAGGCATCTTTGTTAAGCACATCCATGGTATGCTGGCAAAGTCTTTCTTGTTAGCTAAATGTAAAAGTAGATACGAAAAATTAGCTAATAGGAATGTTATTTACAATGGTAAACAAGGTGCTCGAAGCATACTATAGGTAAGTTTTTTCCCCTCATATCATCGGAATTCAAATGTCACTCTCCAGCATTTGCCACTGATTCTATTCTCTGATTCTTTGTTTGTCATATTACAGAAGAACTGGAACCTTTTCAGCGTTAATGTAGTGATGGCTGGGACAGGCATATATCAACTGGCTCGCAAAACTCGGTATGCTAAAATCTGGTTTCAGCTGTACTTACTAAAATATGGTTTCCAAAAATAGTATTCACCGCATGCCTCCTGTCTCTTGTTATCCTTATCCCAGCTCTATGATATTTGTCTTTGAACTACTATTTCTCTGACATTCTACCATCTCATGTCATTGCAATTCTTATCATTTTTGCTCATGGTTGTGCTCATAGTTGTTCCAAGTGTGGAAATTTATTCTGCTTTATAAATTTTCAGGCATGATCACTTTTCTGAGGTACAAGTACCAGGAAAAGAATGAGATATTTATGGACTCCAGATCTTTGTTTGAGTTAACAACAACAACCTTATTTCTTCCGTTCAACATGTACCTTTTGAAAGTGACGAGGGGTTGAGTATTCATAATATTGATTATCTCAAATATGCCCTCCGAACCAAAAGAATTTTATTATATTTAAATAACTCAAATAATATTTGGATACATGTTATATGGTAATGTTCATTCTTGGAACTTCACTTTTACTGGACACAATGAGTTGATCTTGGAGACTTGGGTTTTTTTTTTTTTTTGTTCTTCAAAGCAATGGAATCATTGAGGTCCTAGGAAATAGCTCCTGTGTTAGGCTTTTATGGGACAAATGATTTTTCGATACTCCACTTATGATAAAAACCTATATTTATTAACATGAACATGTGTGATGAACATCCATTTGTTTCTGATTTAATTTTAAATGATCAATGGAATCATGGTTTGATCAATTGCATGTTTGGTAATGCCATTTCTAAGACCTTTTTTGAGATGGATTGATCCTAACACTCCTATAAAGATATATGGATATATATATGAAACCAGATCTAAAAGGGCAACTAATAACGATGATTGTGTAAAGTCATCATGTTGGATCTATAGAATGGATACAGATTCGTCCAGATCGGATTCCATAGGATAGATACGGATTCCGCAAGATCTTTGGAAGCTTCCTGCGATTTCCAAGGTTTTATGTTTTTTTTTTTTTTTTCTTTCTAAAAACGCTTATCTAACCGTCTCTCTACCTTTGAGTTTTTATTCTTTGTTGGTATATCTACAATGAGGGAATGTTTTTTTATGTGGCCAAGAGATCGATGGCTAGGATTATATATTTTTGAAATGCACATTATTAGCCCTCTATTTTCCTCAAAAACTTAATTTTTAATTTTTTTTATTTTCAAAATTGACATGTCGACGAATGACTCAAAGGGGGCAGTTTAGTTAAACAAAGTTGCCTTGGATTATGGTTGCTCAAGACCAGAAATAAAATATGTTCGATGCTGGGTTGAATCTATAGTGATTATAGAGGTAATTTTTGATAAATGGGCATTTTTAACTTTAAAAAATCATCAATATTGGGCTTTTATGGTATGGTGTCTCTCAATTTGATTTTTACATGGTTTTTTTTATTATCAATTTGATGAAAATATATTCTGTCCTTCATCGATTGGCTCCGTCATCATCGCTATCTCTATTAAGTGTTTTCGCATCCTCCCTCACCTTCTCCCCTTACGCTCTGAGGAGAAAAGGGAGGAACTAAGTTAAAGAAATTTCCTCCTCCCCACACTAATTCGATCGTCGGAGGGGTCGGGCCGAGCTCCCTGACCCGACTTTTGTGCAGGTGTGAAGGCCGAGGTCTCTCACAAAACGCCCAGGCGAGGAGCCCCTGCCCCGAGGAGACGACGACCCCGTCCCGATTGGACCTCCGTAATCAGCCATCTCGGTAGTCCCGAGAAACGTCCCAAGGAGATCTCCCATCATCCGGATCCGAGCCAAACCGCTTCGGCCCCGAGACCACTACTTAAAATTGTTACACTAACGAGGGGTATATATTTTTTAAATTCACAAAAACAAATATATATAAACCGTGAATCGGAAACGAAGAACTCGACGATGGATGGATCATAGCTCTAAAGCACTCGAGAGAGGGTTTAGGATTCCTCGACAGCCATTAATAATTAACTAGAGGGGAGAGGCGGTGGTGTCTCGGTGGATCAACACGCGTCCTCGACAGAAACCTCGAGACTGCCAGCCAATCTGGGTTGCTTTATCACCGGCACTAACAAAAGTGACGCGAATCATGTGGACCGCAGTGAAAGGAAGGCGAAAGCGTCCGGCACTGCAGCGGCAGCAGCAGTCGCCTTTCCCACGTCACTTGTTCTCCCACGGCAGGGAGCGAGCTGTATCGAGATGGGGGAAGTATTTAGACATGGTGGAACCTGGAGGGAACAGCACGTGCGCGGCTGATGAGTTGCAATCCCGTGATTGTGTCACCAAAAAAAATCGTGTTCCAATGTAATACAAATGAATATTTATGTTTATAGATCAAATTGTGAAACCTGTTCCAGGGTTCATTTGGTCGATAGAAGATAAGATTTTTCTAACTAAAGCATTTTTATTTCTTCAATAAAGCTTTCTTTCTTCGATAAAGCTTCTTCAATAATTATTCTTATCTTCTATTATTTTTATCAGTGGTACCTGCTGATCTCGTCCGATTGGAGTAAACCCTGTTTGTTATACGGCCTCGGACGATACAGGGGATCAAGCCGGAAGCGCACCGACGAAAACGACAACGTTCTAACTAGGAGACCCACGACGGTGACCAACGGGAAACCCCTGTTTCGTGTGTCTCGACGACGGAGGCGAGCGAGCGAACGAGCGAGCGAGGTTGGTCCACGCGACGGGAGGTTCGCCCGCCCGCCCGCAGAAAGAGACACTTGGGGATGCTGTGTGCCAAACAGCACATGCACTCACTACGTAGACGACGCTCTCACAGGAGTAACACGTGTACATCATCAAATCATGCACACAAGGGGACAAGCTAACTCATCGTCTCCCTGGACTCCTCTGACACGGAGTCTACGAGGCCATGACAAGGATGACCTGCTCCCAAAGCGAAAACCATGTGCTCTCCCCCACGGGAAACAATGGAACTGCGTCTACCTACGGCCCCTCGCAATATCTACCACGGGATTCTGATTCCCTTGAAGAAGGGCCTTAAATTAAAGGCCCCGTCGATTCCTCCAGGCATCGAAAGCCTCGACTTTAGTGGGCAGCGCAAGCCACGGCATGGGGAGGACGGCCAGAACTTTACACCTCGGAGCCCTCTATGCTATTCTTTCTTCGTATTTTAACTCTCCCAAGATGTGCTTGGTGCGTGCCGGTGAAAGAGCAGCATAGGATTTAAGAATGATAAAAAGGAGAAGAGGCGGGGGGGTTGTACTGAATGCATGTTTGCTGCAGACGGGACACGCGCGTGCCGACAGGCTATTGCACGTGAATGTGTCAGCTGAGGAAGTCCTCTCTCTGTCTTCTCTTCTCTCCCCCCCCCCTTCATGGTGGCATCTGTGAAAAATGTTATGACTCCTCATCACTGCCAGTTCAAGCTCCATTTATTTGTGTTGGACAGAAAGGCAGAAATGGGCCAGAGAATGACCTATAGAGAGAGAGAGAGCTATTTTTACTATGTTTCTTTTTTATCTTTTCCTTGTTTAAGCTGCCAAGAAATAAGGCGAGGGACGTTGGATCGACGAGTGTTTTCCACAAGTTATAACCAAAACATGTTGACTCATGGATGAGTATATAAGTTTGCTTCATTAAGCAAGCATTCCGAGTTTAGACTTCATTTATTTAGACTTCCATCAGTTGGGTGGAACATTGTATTTGGGAGATGTTTCGACTTGAAAGATTGTTCATTCATTTAGACTCATCGATTGGGGGATATTGTGTTTGGGAAATGCTTCGACACGGAAGACTCTCCGTTCATTTAAATTCCTATCGATTGGGTCTATGATTGAACATTATGTTTGGGAGATGCTTCAACGTGGAAATGAAGATAACGCATTGTATTGTCTTCGAGAGATGTTTCGACGTGCAAGATTCTGGATGGAGAGTGTTCGGCACCACCCATCAATTATTGCCCCCAAAGTTGTAGCGATGATGCACCAACTCCATCGTTCGTTAATAATTGTAGCGATGCGATGCGATGCGATGCGATGCATCATTTCTTGTCACAGAAATTGATGAAGCACGGGCGGTGATCAGATGGTCATTCTGCGGATCAAGGGATGCCTTTCTGGGAGGAGAACATGAAACCCAAACCAGGGTGCAGAAAAGGAGAAGCCCCAGCGCCCTGGCCAATGGGTTCGCAGGTTTGAAGGCCACCTCTTCTTCCCATCTCTCCCTCACTCCTCTTATTGATTTGCATTTGTATTAATTGACGTGCCCCCACTCGCTCTCTCTCTCTCTCTCTATAATAACCCCACTTGCTCCATCACCCTCACCCCCTCCCCACACTCCCTACACCATCAAGAGACGAGTCCAGGAACACACACCGGTATAACGAGAAGAAGAGTGGAAGACCTCTCGCAAAGCCTGCTGCACTCATGAAGTCCTTCAACTCCTCTTCTGATCTCGAGGCTGGATGCGCTCCTCCTCACAATTTCATGGAAGCAGCCGGGGTGGGATCTCCGCCGCCAAAGGCTAGGTTCTTCTGCGGCGGCCTCGACGACGACGACGAGCCGCACCACTTCTTGGACTCTTGCAACCTCTGCAACAAGCCCCTCCCCCGCAACCATGACATCTTCATGTACAGGTTCGCCCTTCTGCTGCTGCTACTTCTTCTTCTTCTTCTCTAAGTTTTGCAAGTTCGTTCGGCTGATGGATGAGTTGATGTGCAGAGGGGATATGGCGTTCTGCAGCGAGGAGTGCCGGCAGGAGCAGATCGAGATGGACGAGGGCAAGGACAAAAACCAGAAGCTCTCCCTCAAGGCTTCCTCCACGAAGGACTCGAACAAGGGCGGCTCCGCCACCAGCCCTCCCAAGTCCCACAAGGTACACGTTAGGACCGGCACCGTCGTGGCCGCAGGTTGACGGTCAACTGTACCACATATACAACACGGGACGAAGAATCAAACAAAGCACGGGAAAAAAGAAATCAGTATGTCGCAGAAGATCTTGTGTTCGTGGAGAAGTGCACGAGCAATGGTTTCATCACTCCGAACAAGTCGCATCAGGAGATGTTGTGTTCGGAGTGGATCCGCCGTTTTAATGTCGAACCTCTCTCTCTCTCTCTCTCTCTCTCTCTCTCTCTCTATCTCAAGAGGCTCTTGGTGGTTTTTGACATAAATGATATTGATCTGAGCCTTCGAAGAAAACACTAAATTGTGAAGGATGATTAATCTGCTGTTTCTCTTTGTCCTCCTTGCTTCCGGGAAAGAGCAGCGACAATAACGTAATATGGAAGAACCACAAGAAATCGCCAGTTGACATTAAAAATATGGTTAACTATCGATAACACAAGACGTGTGGCCTTAAAAGACGATTGTGGTTTTGTTTATGCGAGTGAGTGGACTATGAACTCATCAAAGTTGACACTGAGAGTTGTTTAATCTCAAATCACTAAACAATGGGGTGCTCTTTTCATCAAACCACTGCCAGAAACGCCAAGTCATAGTTTGAGCATATCGGAAAGCAAAATATTATGTGCATTAAATGATGCTAACAACTCGAATTATAATAGTATACGGTCTTCCGTAAACTCAAGAGGAAGTCCAGTAACTGATGAGCGGAGATTCACAGAGATCTGGAACAGTGAATGAGAATGTAAAAGTCGATGCTTTTGCTCTCATGGCCTTACGATTTGCCATAGTCTCATCATCGTTGGTTGCTAGGAAATATATTTGAATCTGCAGTTCAGAAGATTGGATATTAAGAAGAGCTTGATTTAGTATTCCAATCTTCCATTTCTTTTCATTGTTGAACTCTATACCACCGGGGCTGAGGGACTTGGAATATCGAAAGAAGAAAAAAAACACAATGTTTTCCCATAATTTTCATTTCATCAACCACACTTGCTCGAGGTTTAAAGAATACCTAAGATAGTACTTGCCTACGAGTTTATCAAATTTTATTGCTAATAGTCAAATCTTTCGAGTTCGAAAAAATACTTTGAGTCATGAAGTAATGCACCGTCGATCTATCGATCGATCTGCAGGAAGTAGCATGGTAAATCTGCAAAGGAAGGAACTATACTCTCCTTTTTTTTTTTTTATCTCTTCCACCTTTTCACCACTATTATGGATAAAAGATCTATCGGGAGAGAGAGATATAGATTGTATATCATTAATGTCATATTTTTTTTCTATGTACCATAACAATATTAGTTTTTCCCTTACTTTGTCCGTGTCAACAAACAATTCGAAATACCTCGACTTTTTTGATCCAATTTATCGTAATCGATTAGTTAACATGTTGGTTAACCGTATTCTGAAACACGGAAAAAAATCATTGGCTTATCAAATTATCTATCGTTTCTTAATATAATTCAAAATTATTCTTATAATTTATCTTATTAAGATAATTTTATTATAATATTCAATTACAATATGTACAAATACAAATGTACATAAGATAGCAAAAACAAATAGTTTTAATTACGTAAGTAAAAAATTAATTAAAATATCCACTCTATAAAAAAAATAATTTTTTTTTTCTTTTTATCTTGTTAGTAGTCTTCCTGTTTGACTAATTGACTTAGAGCTTGAAGGTGACGATTGCTCTCTCTCTCTCTGGATTAGCCTTACCATGGGATGTATGGAAGCGACGAGAGAAAGTTTGATTTTTACTTAATAGCATGATGCTTTCACTCTTCTCAAGCTGTTTCGTGACCCAAAATGGAATGGATTGAATCACAAGTATCCATTCACTTCTTCTGTAGAAGAAGAATTGGAAAAGGAGCGGATGGTTTATGTAGGAATGGAAGAGGAAGAGAACCAGATAGTTAAATCAGAGATATGTCATACTTGTTTAGACTAGCCATCCAAAGTGACTCATTAAGCTGGGTTAGAAAGCAAAAGTCAAGGACGAAAGAAAGTGACTTTTTTTGTTTTTGAATGAGTTACTATTACCTATTCTCCATAGGAAATAGTTTTTACTATGCTAATCAAAAAATCAAATAATAAAAAGTGTGATTTGAAGACCCAACCTTCGACACAAGAAGAAAAAGCCTTTTCTTTTTTGCTCAAAAAATAAAAACTTTATTTTTGATATTTTCGGATCAATGATCAATATTGATAAGGGAAAAAATGGCAAATAGTCTCAGGACAACGTCAGCTGCTCCAGATGACGTCACGCACCTCGGAATTGATCAGAACGCTGACCCGACCTTTGTGCAAGTGCGAAGACTTCGGAGATCCCCACCTTCGGAGATTCAGCAGGCTCGAGGAGCGCCCCCACGGAGACCCCCGCCTTCCGGACCCAAACCAAGCCGCGACGGCCCCGAAGCCACGGCTAAAAAAGTTATTTACCATAACAAAGGTCGGGTCGGGGTGCTCGACCCGACCCCTCCGACGATTAAGTCAGCGAAAGATGTGGAGGGGGTTTCGAGAGAAGTAGTGTTTTGGGGTGTGTCCCGCCTCCCCCTTCTAATGAAAGAGAGGGTATTTGTAAGGAAGCATTTTGCTTCCTGAGCTGCCCGCTTGCAGGGGGCAGGCTGACAGTAGCGATGGCGTAGCGTGTTAGACTTGGCTTTTGCAGGATATTAATGTGCCTCGGTCAGCGTTCTGATCAATTCCGAGGTGCGTGACGTCATCTGGAGCAGCTGACGTTGTCCTGAGACTGTTTGCCATTTTTTCCCTTATCAAACATCGTTACTTCTTAGGATATGATCAGATCTAGAAGGGTGCCACCTCACTTTCTTGCGATAGGAGAAGTGAGGCCTATGCTATTTATAATATTAGATTTGGGCTCCATTCCGTATCTATTCACAAAGCAGGTAAACCTTCACCCTTACATAGCTACACTAGAAGGTTTTTTTATCTTTGCATTCACTCGAAGGGATACAATGACTGACTGAGTTTAACTGATGAAGACTTGCTATTAGAAGGAAGGAGTCATCATTTTTTAGCCATTTATATTTTTTTCGATTATTTTGAGTTCATCGTATAAATCATAAAATGCATCAAATAATTCATCATAAGGTAAATATATTTCAGATGAGTCACATACCTCCTCGTCGTTGAAAGTCATCAATATATAGTTCGCCGTTTCGACTTCATTGGTTTGCTCTTCGTCTTCTGTTGCATTTGATTCATCCCATATTATCTTGAATGCTTTCTTCTTCTTTGAAAATTTTATCTTCAATTATCGATACTCATTTTTAAAGTGCCTTAGTTTTTTATATTTATAACAAATTATTATATCTTTTTTAAGTTTATTTTTATTCTAAGATTCTTGTTTTGTCGAATTAGTCTTGTTCTTTTTCATAAACTTTTTAAATATTATTGTAAAGAGTTCTATACCATCATTATCACTTGAGCTTTCGTTCAAGATGGGAGGAGGGTGAATTAGTACTTTCGAAATAAAATTTTGATTTGAAAGTTCGATAAAAAAATACGTATCAAAAATGCGTTACCTTAGAATATGATCAACATGATGCTTTGGCCCAACGTCCAATATCTGACATAATGCTTTCCGACCCATCATTTAATCCTTCTATTTCAATGATTCAAGTCCAAATTTTCGTATGTTATATATTTCAAATACTTATTAGTTCATAATCTAATCAATTAATTTTATTATTAAAACATGGGACATCGAACTTGAAACTCAAGTCCGTCTAACCCTCGGCTATCAAACGACAATTTGATATAAATTAATTTTATATGAATGAGACATCATTCATATAAATTAATCCATAGACATCATTCATATAAATTAATCCTTAAGCATGAAAGCAGATTTATTAGATGAATCCAAAGGCCACCCATATTCACGGGTTTAATAACCATTTTACCATAAGAAATCTCTCGAGTAACCACCATGATACATTCAAAATGTGGGTCGCAGATGCATACAAAACAACGTTCTCCTGCATCATAGATTAACGAATGATTGAGCTTGTTGCTCATATACTAAAAAGGACACAAAATCACATTCATATTTGATGATTTTCAAATTCCAATTCAATTCATTGTTTGTACAATTTGTGGGAGTCGAGCCCTACTCTCAAGGGCAAGAACTATTATGAATTATGACCGACAAAGAAACTGTGATGAACATTCCTTCGATCAAAATAGTCAATATGGATTTGCTTATCCTACAACTCCTGCATAATTTCGAATTATATCGTTAAAAAGGTGAGTAAAAATGACGAATTTCTACAACTTGTTGGAACGAAGCATCCAGATGCATTACAACACAAAAAATATTTGGATAACTTAAAAACAAGGTGACACGCAAAATCCTCATCTTCTCTGGATTTCATGCTTCTTGTTTGCTGAGTTCTTTTAGGTCCATAGTAACGTCAAGCCCCATGTTTAACAAAGAACTGACCATGTCAGGGATATCCCTTTTCAGGGCTTCAATTAATGCCTATTCAGTGCAAGCAAACACAAGAAAATCATCAAGTCATCAGCAATCAGAGGAGGATAGCATTTGAAGGCTATACAAAATACAAGTTAGCACAACAGGTTTAAATGTGTTGTGGAGCACTAACATTAGCCAAATAAGCAGGGAGACTTTCAATATCAGAGATGAAAAATGGTTCAACAAGAAGATAACATAGGATGAAGTATTGTGAAAGTTCAAAAAACTTGTCCTGTAGCTGGTCTGTTTTTAATCAGCATTTCATTGATTGCAATGATGTGCTAATCATACTTCTAACAAAGTTTCCTGTCCAGGCCTAGAGTCATAAAGCCTAGTGCATAATCCTTGTCAAGGTTCAGCCAGAAGTTGAAATTAAGGCAGCAGCAAAAACAACATAAATCAAGCCTAGTTGTTATCTATTTTTTCGGTTTTCTTAGTAGCTACAAATGCTAGCTAGTAAACTCTAAAATTTTGGATCAGTGTCACTAAATCAAAATCCACCAGCTTTTGACACCTACATGTTTATCATGGACTTAAGCAGGATAATTGATTAGGAGGGACCATCAAAAGCATTCGGTGACCAGAAAATACCTAATAGATTAATGTGAACTTTCATATCAGGGTTTTAAATGAGCTGCCTTGAACTGCATAAGGCAGCATGCATTGTATCGACAAGAAAATGACACCATGATGTAGGACAAGATTCTTGGTTTTTTTCTCTCGGAACCAACAAAATCATTCGACTAGCAACTGTTGAGTGGTGAAACAACATACTTGTTTTTGTCAAGTTGGCAAGCTTTTGCAAAAGAAATTCTTCCCCTGGCAATATGAGACCATCCCTTTACATTAGTCTCTTGACCAAAAAGAAAACAGCACTTACATAAGTTCCTCAATTGTCATGGAGTATTAACAGATATATCACAAATATTTATAAGCCTTGGGGCAACCGACAAAAGCCCTCCTGTTTTTGCTCCTGCTAGTCCCTCTCTACCAGGTCCAGCATTCTATCTGGAGGTTCATTAGCTTGCAAATAGCACATCCAGCAGCTGCCAATATTTCCTTGTGTCTTTCTTATGATGTCTCCTGAGTATGCATTGTCCTTGCCAGTCGAGACCAGGCTGTTAAACTTGGGATCTGGGCTGTAGGATCGTGTGATCTTACAATCCAGATCAGGCCTGGCAAGTCAGGCCAGTCGCTGAAGTAAACAAATGGTGGAACCAGCCCAGCCCGACTCGTGAGTTGGCTCAGGACAATCGGTCGACTCAGATGAGTCAAACTCGAGTTTACTAACTCAACTCAGTTGGCTTTATATAAAAGGGGGAAAAAAACTCCCCGCAACGCCGAGGACTCTTCTCCCGCGCGAAGAAGTCACCGACAAACGAGGGAGAGCAGTGCCGATCTCCAAGTTCTCTTTTTTGCCCTATTCTTTCTTCCCCTTCTCCCTATTCTTTCTTCTCCCTCGGTCATTGCCCGATTTAAGACGATAACGGGGCAAAAACAACCCCTATCGACGATACCACCCGGTAGCGGGCGATCCGTGTACCGGTCTATTGGCGGACCGGTACATACCGCCCGATACAAGCGGTATTATTCGAAATTAAAAACCTTAGTGCAAAGGTTCATGTCAAGTCCACTAACGCTAAGAAAGATTGGACTAGTTCTCGTGTTTAACAGCAATATGTAAATATTCTAAGAGAATCTAATGAGTTATTTTTTTTCATAACAAATTAGTAACATATATATATAAATCATATTTATATAAAGTAATAAAATTTAAGGAAATTTTTTTGCTGAATAAAAAAAGTACCAAAATAGTTTATCGCATCAATTAATTTATATATTTTAAAAATTTTAAAAAGTAATTTTACTTTTACATCCTTTTTTATTTTAGAAAATAACTTTAAAATAGTTAAGCTTTTGGTTGACCTATAGAATCAACTATTATTTAGATTTTAGACTACAACTTGGCAAAACATAATTTAGTTTTTATCTTCTCTTATTGACAATTCTTATAGAAGCTTGCTTTTAGCCTCTTATAGAAGTAAAAAAAAATCTCGATTTCTTCTCCCCACACGGGCAAAAAAAGAGGCGACGTCACCAGTTTACTTTATATATATATATATATATATAACTAAAAAAAATTGTTTCCTTCTTTTTTGCTCGCACGAAGAGAAGGTGGAGAGAAGAAACCGTTTCCTTCCCGCGTAGAAAAGGGCAACAAGGTGACGTAGCCACCTCGTTTCTTCTGCCTGCGTGGCGAGAAGAAACGTCGCCTCGACAACACTCGATTTCTTCTCCCTGCGACGTCGCCGAAGATTCTTCTCCCCACGTGGATGAGAAGTCGCCGACGACGTTGAAGCCTCGTCGCCTTAAACAAGGAGAGAGAGCGACACTGAATCTCCAGGTTCTCCTCTTCTTACTTCTACCTTGGGTAATACCACTCGGTAACGAGCAGTGATGACCGATTTAGGGTGATAACATGGCAAAAATAGCCCCAATTGATAGTACTACCCGGTAGCGAGCGATCCGCGTACCAATCTGCTGGCGGACTGGTACGAGCGATATAATTCGAATTAAAATCATTGCTTTCGACAACCCACTTATTATTAGCAACACCCTACAAAAATACTAAAATAATTACTAGTAATATCCTTATTCTCACAACCCCTTATTTCATCTGTCGAAACCTTAACTACACTGACGTCGCTCTCTGCCACTCCATCGTACGACATCATCGATGACACTGCTCATCGCTTGTGATTAGAAGGGGAAAAAAGGGAAGTTAATAAAGGTATTTAAATTCATGTGATGCCGCTCACCACCGCTTGCCATTAGGAGATGAATAAGAAGGAAAAAGGGGAAGATTATAAGGGCAATTATGTCCATTTACAGAGGCTATCTTAAGAATATTAGAAGTTCTTAAAATGAGGTTGTAAATAGCAAAAAAGGCTATCAATAGACATCTTCTTGCTATATTGGCATAAGATTTAAAACATATAAAATTATCTAAAAATTATTAAGAAAAGAGGTTGTTAGTAGACATCTCCTTGTTATATTGGCATAAGTCATTTAAAATATATAAATTATCTAAAAATATATAAAGAAAAAGTGATACATCAAATGAAAGCTCTATATTAGGATCCAAAAGACCAACTAATTAGTCTTCATCGCTCTAGCTAAGGAGACCATTTGTTGGATGAGTCTATGCACCTCCCCATGCCATAGCAAATCTCTAAGGTTACTAGTCTGGATTCAACTAGGACAAGGGGACTACCATCAAGAATGGATCCAACAAGGAAATTTCTTTTGATATTAATACAATTATTGACTCTAGAATGTCTTTTAATCTCTTTCTTTTTTTTTCTCTTTTATCTTCTCTCTTTTCTCTTTTTATGATCCATTGAAGATTTGTAAAAAAAACACTTGAAAGGAGGTAAATAATCAAGAGGAATTCCATCTTCATTTTTTTTAAAAAATTTCTGCACTGGTTCAGATAAGTGAACTAATTCAGGTCAACCAAAGGGCTTCCCTCCATCTCCTCCTACTTCCTTCTCTCCTCCTTCCTTCCTGTTTGAACAGGATTAATAATATTTGACATCCAATTATAACAAAAGCAGGTAAAATGTTATAAAATGAAATAGAATTTAGAAGATGAAACCCAGAGGCACGTGATTGCTGTCCTAAGTGTATTCCCTCCGCCTCGTGCTAGCATTATTGGGAAAACCATCCAAAATACAGCTGGGATGTAGATTCTCCTACGCGCACATAGTGGAGAATTAAGGAGAGGATACTCTAGTACTAGTAGAACAAATAACAAATAGAAGAATGAAAGATGCACCTTGAAAAAGAGGTTAAAAAACAAAGGAATTGGGCCATGTGCAAAGCTGTGAAAAGATGTCTACTAACAAGTTTTTGGCCAATCAAGGGGTTGCCATGTGGAAGTCTATGAGTGTGTCACAGGTAAAACGCCCACCAATCAATGCACAAACACCACGTGTCAATGAGTGAAGGAGTAAGACATGGAGCATTACTCCCAAAGGCAAAACAATGAAAGATAGGGGTATTTTCATAATTTTAAAAGAAAATGGTAAGTAAGGATAAACCTCTAATCTATGATTTTCCACATTTAATGGGGATACAATCATGCAAAAGAGAATAGAATCTATTTTGTACTTGAAAAGAAGTACCTAAACATGAAACTACCAAAAGGACCTCATACACAGTAAAGCTCGAACTTTTCTCACTCAAGTGCTAACTTCTTTGAGGTTGAAGGTTGTTACTGCCTGCCTCAAGTTTTATCTCCTCTTCTTCTATGGTTAGCTGTTGCTAGAGTTTCTATTGTCGTGATTCCTAACTAGGGTTAGACTTTCAACCGAAGTCCATCTCAACTTCTAATTCTGAGTGCAACTCTCCCTCCAATCCGAGTGAAACTCAGATTGAGTTGGATGGGTTCTTTAAGATGACCGAATCTAACCCTTGAGCTTGGTGATCCGAACTCCAAGCATAGAGCATGAGTATAAAATTCTCAAATTGAATGTTGATCCATAATAGCAATTATTACACAAGTAATTACAATATAAAAAATGTAGAATTTTACTTTTTGGAAATCAAACAAAGCATGAAAAACTCTTGCATATATTAATCACATTGGAATGCAGATACAATCAAAACATTTAGTATGATGTCTACTAAGAGGTCAAATATTCTTGCCTTCAGAACTCTAAACCTAGGATCTTTATGTCTATAACGACAATAGATATTAATTCAGACTTACCTGTTTGTCTTCCTTCTTCTGTTTCCTTATAACCTCCTGTGGCCATTGACTAATTAGTTTCTGCAGTTCATCTATGACTTGTGGCTTCTTCAGATCTGGCAGGTTCTGTCATGGAACCAGTGAAGGGGTATCACTTACATTAAAAAGAACCACGTTCCACAAGAAATGCAAAGAAAAGAATTAAACTTAAAAAATTTATGGCCTTACACGTTTCCGATCAACTAATTTCAATCTTTTGTCAAAAGATTTATTCAGGTATATTATCTTTCACTTATATCTGAACCTGACCTTTAAGAAAATAGAAAGCTGCTGTAATGTAACATGCATACAACCAAGCATGTCACAACTAAAGACACAAGGTAATTTCATCAGCAGGTGATTTCATTGAATAAAAACTAACCAATAGAATTGGGTATTTTTTTACAGGAAAAATCTACCAAAGAATATCCATCAGAAACACATTAGACGAAGCAAGTTTTATTGATCAGTCCATGTAATTGATGATATAAGAGGTCTCAATAACTCTCCTTAGGGTAAACGTGAAGCTAAAATACGTTAATAAGGGTAGTACATTACCCTAGAGTGACTTTTAACTACTTTGGCTGACAAAAAATTGCTTGACATCCCAAAATCGGTTAAGCTAATTTATCCCATGTCGCAAGGAAAAGGGATGGTCAAACCTTGTAGAGAATATGAATGGTAGCAGCAGCAGTCTCTGGGTTATGTTCAAGCAGATGTCCCTGCAATGCTCCAAATAAAAGAAGACCACAAGAAACAAAGTTTAACAAAGACATCTTTCACAAAAGAAAGAAATTAAGTAGTGAAAAAACATTTCTTAAGAAAAGATTAGAAAAAATGATCAGCAAAGCAGATAATTTCTTCTTTGTTGTAAAGTCTAACAGTTACTCAATTTAGTTTAAGAGGTACCATTACAGTCCGCTGGAATAATGTTCTTGTTAAACTTACATCAACCATGATTCACAGCCTAGCCAATGGACAACCTTAGATTAGCAATGATGGAAAAGTAGGTGTTGATATTGCGCAAGATGGTAAAAGTGGAATTGGATTGAAAAAGCTACAAGAGTTTCTTTGACAATTAATAAGTATACAGTGGATTCATGCACTTTGAGAGTAGTATTCAAAAATTCATGACTGACATTTTCTTTTTGCAAATGGAAGTACACCATCATTACTCAAACCAAAAATTAACATGACAGACGCAGGTTATTGGTCCAGTAATACAAATGTCTTCCCAAAAAACAGACTGCTCCTGCAGGCAGTCAAGGTATCACATAATGCATTAGCAATGTCGTTACATATGCAATCACGTATATGGTCCATATAAGATATTACAAACAACAAACAATACAATGAGGCTAAATCAAGAGCTTATGGTATAACAATTGTACACACCATTAAAGCTTGTTAAATGATAAATTATAAGAAATAAATAAAAGTCTAGCTGACCAAATTACATAGAAATACTAGAATAAGAGAAATTTAACATGACGATGGGCAAATGGTGCCATAAACAAGAGTTTGCAAGTGTAGAATAAATACTTATTAGGAGTCAAAAGTATCCGATGAGAAAGATTACCTTAGCACATGAAAACCCATTTGAAAGTGTTGGTCGCTTTACAAATTTTTCTCTGAGCTTCCCAATTTTCCAAATAGATTGAACATCTCCTGTGCAACCAAGTCAGAGACATTCAGTACAGGAAGACACCTTTTCTAATAGGAAATTGAATTTTCTTCTATGCAAGCAACTTTATATGATCATCTGCAATCTTCAAAAGAAAGCATTGTGCTACATCAAATCTAGTAGATTAATGTACAAATTGTCCAGCTACTGCCTTAGTGAAAGTTGTTAAATATGTCAATTTACTGGCATATAAATTTGCCAATCTATATCCAATCTAGGCAACCAATCCAACTTATCTACTTGGTATGAAACAAGCACAGACAATTAAGTAAAAGAAACTGATAAGATGGTTAAAAAAGTTCACTAACAATCTAAAAACCTTGACTTAGATATTATGTAGCATCAACATAAGAAACTGTAAATGGACACTGGGAGAAAAAAAATTTATGGAAAAAAATGTGCATCAGAATAAAACCAAATGTTTATTTAGTATACATGGCAAAATAGTGGCTTGCCTTAAAACGCATCAAAAGAACTTCAAGATCTATTCATGGTGAAAAGCAATCTGTTGTCTCATCAAGGCCTGTTATATGCAAATCAACAAGATAGCATAAAAGTTATCATGCATGTGCATTGATGTTTTCATTCAATTATGAAATTAAATTTGTAGATAACTTAATGAACATCAAACAAAGTGTCCATAGCAACAGACATGAAATACTAGCACTTTACATGAGACAGTTCACCATACTAGCACTTCTTTTAAAGGTACTTCTAAGTTAGTACTTTTTCCTCCAAAATATAATATTATTGTTAAAATTTAATAATATTCAAACAAAAAATTTAGATGCAGTACCAATTTTCGCAGCAAATTCCATCCAAATATCAAATGCTGTTTGATGAAGTTTTACTCCAGCCTTAAGAAACCTTGCTGAATACTTGGAAATCAGATCCCATTTGTTTGTGTTGTGACAAATGCTGTACAGAGCCACCAGGTTTCGAATGAAACTAAGGACATTGATCAAAGCTATAAAAAAAGAAATAAGTTTCTGAATATGAAAAAAAAAGCTATGGCACAAGATGTGGAGCCTAAAATACTTCAAATGTATCTGAACATGCATAAGTATGAAGTGCAACAAGCAGGACGAGAGATCTTTTCACAAGAAGCTTGAGAGCTTCCCGACCAGAAAGACTGCATTGCATGAAGATTCAATTCTGAAATAGATAAATTTACTTCTCAGGTTCAGAAAAGTTTTTATAATGATTTCATGTTTCCTTGATTTGAAAATTGGATTCGAAACGTTTATTTGTTAAGTGTAATAGGATAGTGTATTCTATTTTCATTGAGAAGGCACATACAAATGCATATGGAAGGGGTTCCTACGTCTTTGGTAAAATACAAATGCTTTTCAATTTGTGTTAATAATATATATATACATATACATATACATATACATATACATATACATATATACATATATATAAAAGAACAGAACATGCATTATATTTTTTTAATAATAAATTTGAACAGATATTGTGGTTTATTAAGTAATCAATCTACTAAGATTAGCTTCTTTAGATTTTTAAATTAGTGGCTCTTAAAGAAACCTGGCTTTGTCACTTAAATGAGGGAAGTGTTCCTAAACAAACTTAGTTCAGTATACCAATTAGAACATTTTTTTCATCATTTCAAATGTGGGATTAGAGAAGTATTTCTTTTTGTATTATTTTTCATATGGTAGACGATGATTCGCTACTTTTTAGTTCCAGTAGAGACAGGGAATGCAATAATACTCATGGTGAACAAAGAGTTACGGAGAGTAAAGGAGAAGGAATCAGAAATGAAGAGGCTAAAGAAAAGAGAGAGAGAGAGAGAGAGAGAGAGAGAGATGGGAACAGTTAAAAAGGAGAGATGCTTAGTTAAGGGGAACTTGAAAGAAAGTTCTTAAATTACATTTCCGATTAGGCGCAGATGATTCAGAATAAGCATTGGGCTAGTTTAAATTGGGGCTGGTCACCATCTTAGTAATTGGAGACAGAACCCTATATGTCACCAAATATGTGTGTGAACTGGGGCATCCCTCTTTCATGGCACGGTACCATAACATGCCAAAAAGCCCCAGACATGCTCACTGTGTCATGAAACAGCAATCCTTGTTCCAATATTTGTTTGTTATGGGCACTTACAGGTTACAAGAACCAAAAGCATGTTTTGTGATATTCTGAAGTAGGTGATTGGTCAACATACAAAAGCACTTCAACCGTTGAATTTAGCAGTTTTATTTCAAGCACGAAGAATTAGCAAAAATTTACAAAATGATATTATGCTAGTTCACTCCTTTGTGAATTATGATCAGCCAAGCTTCATTACCTTGTCTACTCATTTGACTTTCTTGTAAAAGCATTTCTTAAAATCATAATAGATTGCTTTCAGCAAAGTTAACATATGTAGCGCATACTATTAACTGATTGAGTATTGCTTACTTCATTTAGTCATATAGTTGGTTTAACCTTTGATAGAATCTTCCTTAAGAATTATGCTCTCTATTCCTCAATATTTTTGTCGAAATATGCAGGTAGTTACCACTGTTATTCTTACTGCATTTATTTCATTGTTTCTTTCTTGTTATTGATCCTCAAAGGTGATTCTTTTTACATTATTCCTTAATATCGTAGATAAATATATATACTGTGACTTATGAACTTAGTAAATATGTATGTTGCCTTTGGTCAATGTCAACGTAGATTAAGTTCACCAATTATATTTTAGTTATATTCCATTAACCTTTTGATGCCTAACAATTGGTCTTGTATTTTATAAACTCTAGGAGTTGCCTTCGTGAATTTGGAAACTTCAAATTTTAAATTTCAACAATGGGGAGGTTATACAGTCTACTATTGCCCAAATATCGCTCATTTTTAATAGCAAATAAAGAGAGCAGTCATCCTACAGGTTTTCTTCTTTGTAGTTTCCTCAAAAGCACGGACAAGTCAATTTAATGCGTGTATCCATGAAGGGCACGTGTCGAATACAGCCTCGCTGACACGATCAGGGACACATCGATCAGACACGTCTGTTTTTATTATTTTTTTGGAAACATGTGTCCGTGTCAAACCCTGCGCCCTTCCTCATCGCTTTGCAACTTGCGAGCAATGCTGAGTTGCATGGCTCTCACGTAAACGCAGCCCCACCGACAACCATTGCATGACCCGCAATGACCATGCCCTCAGCATTCGTCCCTCCCTCAAGGACCCGTCACCTATCACTGACAATCTCGCTAGTGGGTTTCTCTCGACATCCCTCTCATTGACCGATTGCCTAACACGCACGGCCTCGTCACCTCGGCACCTCGCTCGTGCAAGCTCACAACATCAACCACAGAAGCCTACATCCACCACCTACGTCCCAAGCACCCCCTTCTTCCTCACCAGTGAAGCCTCCTCTACTCTTGCTCCAAGTGCACCCTTCTTCCTCACTGGCGAAGCCTCCTTTGCCCTCGACCCGAGCACCCCCTTCTTCCTCATCGACAAAGCCTACTCTACACTACCCCCGAGTGCCCCCTTCTTCCTCATCGGCAAAGCCTCCTCTACCCTCACCCCAAGCACCACACCATCGACCTCCAGCGAAGCCTTCTTCCTCACTAGCAAAGCCTCGTTGCCATGCTATGTTGCAAGGTAATATGCTAACCCATTAGTTCACAATTTGCCAATTACTCTAAATAGTGATGATAAAGCTTAATAGGTTAAAGTGACGAGAAAAGCTTTTTTTCCGCATTCTTAGAATTTTAAGTTTTACCAACATTACCGTCTTCTGCCCTTATTGAAGGTATAGGTTAAAAACTTAATGGGTTACATATGTTTACTTGATGTTATATCTTATACTCAATAAATTTAAGTATAAATATTTAAAATTCATCTTAATTGAATAATATATATATATATATATATTAAAAAAACATGTGTATCGACATGTTCGTATCCTAATTTTTTAAAAGTGACATGTTGTCGTGTCCGTATCGTGTGTACTCGTGCCCCGTGTCCATGCTTCTTAGGTAGTTTTGCTCTCTTACCACTTGCATTTACCTCTTCCACATCATCAAATTCTTGAACTTCATCATCCTTAGGTAAATATTCATATGATTCAATATTTTGGGTCTTCTTCTTATTCATATATGCTTCTAACTTAAGTTTCACATATGTAGGACATTTTTTGATGCAGATGCATTTTTGAAATTTCCGACTTGATGTTGTTTTGCACAAAAGATACCACCATTTATTATCTTATCGCAAAACATACGTGTAACAGTATTAGGATCCTTCGGGTCCGTAAATAATTGTACTACCATGCAAGATCCTTTTTTGTGTTTCTCACCAATGATTCGTCTTGGGTGCTACCTACTGTAACCATGATTCAAGATTCTAAAGCTGCAATGACAACCCAAAACAATAAAAAGTAGCACTAATCACTACAGCAATAGCAATAATAATCAACATTTTATTATTGATTCGCTGCAACAAAAAAGGTAGCTGCTATTATTTACAAGGGAAGGGGTTAATGCTGCTCGCTACAACCGGCAATTGTTGTTCACAGGGGAAGGGGTTGCTATTGTTCACTATAGCAGGCAGCTACTGTTCACAAGGGAAGGGGGGCTATGATGAGGTCGAGAGGGGGGAGACAAGACGCTCGGATGAACGAAGAAAAGGTAAGAGGTAAGAGGGAGGAGAAAGATATATCAAGAGGGAGAAGTCATCGTTGTCGTTGCCGTCGTAATTATCAGAGAAAGACATCATCGTTGCCGTTGGAGGATGATGTTGCCACTGCCACTGAAGGAAGATGGCGGGGAAGAAGGTTGATGTCGTCGCTCACTGATGCTAGGAACGCTACCGCATGCAGAAACGGGAAAGAGCGTTTCTACGTTAGGGTTCTTATCACGTGTGAGGTTTCGGGCTTTTTACGACTATACAACAGATAACTAGTTCAATCGAACCAATTGTCTTATGTTTGGTTCGACTCAGGCTTGATGGTTAATACGTTCAATCGAACCAGATAAGTTTGTTTGGTTTGACTCTGGCTCGACCTAGCCTGATCAAACAAGGCGAGCACCTAACCCACTTAGCACCTGAGTGAAGATGCCTACCCAGCCCAATAGTTGAGTGCTTAAGCCTCACCTCGCCTCGACTAGGTGAGCGCTCAGTGAGTTCGCTTGCAACAAAAAAAATGGTGATCATTGATGGTATTATCCTTCCCTTCCTCTCCCCTTCTTTTCCATCCTTCCTCTACAATGTGAGAGGAATTAAGTCAAACAATCCTTTGGTTTAGATGATACATTGAGATATATTATAATTTAGATCAAATTATCCATCAAAGGGTCATCCTATTTCTTAAGATCTCAATGTGATAATAAGATCCAAATAGAGAAAAAGATGAATTTTGATTAGGATCATAAGATCTAGATAATGGATCAGCCAACCCTAACAACATTTACCATCTAGCAATTATTTTTGTATCCAATGCTTACAACCCTTTTATTCTTCCAAGAAAGTCAAACAAATCAAAGTAATGAATTTATGATACATCTCTTGTTCACAAATATTATATCATCACACTAAGATGTATATGAAACTAGTGAAGTATAGCTTGAAATCTGCCAATTGGACCCAAAAATGACAACTAAAATTATGAGTGCTAACATACCTGAAGACTATGTCTGCGGTACCTGGTTGAAGCGACATCGAGTTCTTTTCCAAGACCCGCATAATCTTTACCATTAGTTTGTCATCATTGTGCTCTTTAGCATATGACTACAACAAAAGGTTTGTCAAACAAATGATCTAATGAAGATTAACAAGTTAAAAGCATCAAGTACCAGTAAGTAATGAGCAGAACCAATGCTTGGAGTTAAACCATAGATATTATGTTTCCATAAAGCCTTTAACCCTGCATAGCCAAATAAGCCACATGATGAGTAGCACAACAACAGTAGTACGCACCTTGCCACTAGCCAAGCAGCATGAAGTATCTAATTATGTTGTTCAGAGAAATACACCAAAGCTAGTGAAAATAATGTTGCATTTCATTCTCTAGAATAGTTTCAAATTTTTTGAGTGCCTTTGAAAGCAAACCAACCTGATGAGGTGTATATTTCTGAAATTGTAGTTTGTGATATTTTAAAGTAATAGTTATTATTTGAAAATAAAGTAGCAAAAAGAATAGACAAGATATGCTGACTCCAGATATGACTTATCTTGAAAAACTTAGTTGTGTCAACTATATGAGCAAAATCTTAAGAACATGAAATTAATCCTCACTGTATACAATAAGTCTCTTGGAAGAAATCAGTAGATTTAAAAAAAAAAAAAAAAACCTGACTGAAATATCTTTAAAGTAAGATTAGACA